TACCCACCCGTCCCCGTCCGTCCCCCCTCCCCTTCGCTACGCCTCTGACATTCTTGCATGTCCCTTGTAAAGATAGAGAGCTAATTGTTTTAAACTGCCCGCCAATTTAACTGAGCAACAGATCTTGGTCAAACGGCGTCTGGTCAATACATTTTATTTGGCGAGTTAATTAAAAGCATCTTAATTAGATTTTAAAAGCAGATATTTCAATCTCGCTAGACTATTTTCTTTTTACAAGAGAAACTTTTTTTTAAAATATAAACACTGTAGCCGTTTATTATACCTTTACCCCAACCCCTCGTTTTTTTATCCCCATCCTGTGTGTTGACATTCCTATTCGGTGCAGAATTTTATGTCGACATTCCTGTCTGGTGCAGTTTTTGTGTAGATATTAATGTCTGGTGCATTTGTTGTTCCTGTATGGGTCAGATTTGTGTGTCAACATTCCTATCTGGTGCAGATTTGTGTGTCGATATTCCTGTCTGGTGCAGTATTTGTGTCGACATTCAAGTCTTGCAATGACACCGCCGCTATTTCCTTTAATTGACTGCGTGACTTATCTCCATTTAAAAATTTATTTTCGTTTTTAAAATCTCCAGAAATTTTAAAATGTTTCAGTGTCGACACTAGATCACTTTACACTGTCTGCGTTTTAGAAATATAATTACAATTAATCGGTTTCACTTAAACTATAGAAGGGTAGGGGAGGGGGGCGGGTTAACCAGTCGTCTGCCTGTGGGGGGGGGGGGGATTAAACAGTCTGCCTGTAGATAGAATAAATGAGGATAGCAACTTCAGTGTTGAGCTGATTGTCAAGGGTTCAAATACAAAAATAATGCGCGTGTCATCAACTGTCGGTTGTTGTGGTTCGCATTTTACCATTGCATATATATTTTTGGTTCAAATATTTAAGGCTTCCCTCCATTCGTGTATATGGAGTATATTGAGCCTGGTAGAAATGTGGGGAATACGGTGGGGAATTTTTTTATATTCATCTGAATTTCCGGACAGCGATAAAATGTTTTTCAATGAAAGTTTGTTGTAAGCTAATGCAACTACGTATTGTGCTTGTATTTTATTCCAGTTGATTATCTCAGATTTCATTTAAATAATCTTCGTATAATAGCACTGCCAATGTCATGAAGGCAATGTTGTTGCACTTAGATACATACATGCATACAAGCAGTTACATATGTCTTGCGTCTTTGACCTACCTCTGGGGCGGCGAGTTAGTCGTCCCCCCACCCCCACCCCCTTTACCTGGAGTGTTTCTGTTTTTGGACGTCTGCCTTCACTTCAATTAACATCTGATTACAGATAAACTGTTATAGAGCGGATATAAATAGGTGTATGCATATATTTGCTTTTTGTGTCTGTGTGTGTGCTTGTGTGTATATCTGAGTGTGTGTATGTGTGTGAGTACGTGTGTGTGTGTCGGAAGCTGCTGTTCTGAGCTTTAGAGCTGAGCTCTCCGTGTTTGTCTTGAAGCTCCACCTATGTCTTGGTCTAATGGGGCAATCATAATGAAATCCTACAACTGCCCGTCGTTAGTCTGAGGCCAGACTTTCGTAATACACTGATGCTTGCCTAGTAGAGTTTGTTCCTAACTTTCGTAATACACTGATGCTTGCCTAGAAGAGTTTGTTCCTGACTAATGTCTCCATCGCATATATAAATTGTATCGTATTATCTCTAATGACGTTCTGGTCAGATTGTGTCTGGACATTAGTGTCTAGATTATAGCTTTTATGCCATGTTGTCAATGCCACTTGTCTCATGTGGCAATGTCTGACCGTGTCTGACAATTTAACAGTGAGTGACATTGACCTTTGTGTCGTCTGCTAGTCCCCATGTACTAGTTATTTAGATGTAAGAAAAAAAATTTTGACCAGAAACTGTCACTACGTGGAGAAGATGAGACCACCATATGACCAACGTTTGGCTAACAGCTGACCAGCAACCGACCAGCAACTGACCACCATATGACCAACCTTTGGCTAACAGCTGACCAGCAACCGACCAGCAACTGACCAGCAACTGACCACCATATGACCAACCTTTGGCTAACAGCTGACCAGCAACCGACCAGCAACTGACCAGCAACTGACCACCATATGACCAACCTTTGGCTAACAGCTGACCAGCAACCGACCAGCAACTGACCAGCAACTGACCAACGTTTGGCTAACAGCTGACCAGCAACCGACCACCATATGACCAACCTTTGGCTAACAGCTGACCAGCAACCGACCACCATATGACCAACCTTTGGCTAACAGCTGACCAGCAACCGACCAGCAACTGACCTGCAACTGACCACCATATGACCAACCTTTGGCTAACAGCTGACCAGCAACCGACCAGCAACTGACCAGCAACTGACCACCATATGACCAACCTTTGGCTAACAGCTGACCAGCAACCGACCAGCAACTGACCAGCAACTGACCAACGTTTGGCTAACAGCTGACCAGCAACCGACCACCATATGACCAACCTTTGGCTAACAGCTGACCAGCAACCGACCAGCAACTGACCAGCAACTGACCAACGTTTGGCTAACAGCTGACCAGCAACCGACCACCATATGACCAACCTTTGGCTAACAGCTGACCAGCAACCGACCACCATATGACCAACCTTTGGCTAACAGCTGACCAGCAACCGACCAGCAACTGACCAGCAACTGACCAGCAACCGACCAGCAACTGACCACCATATGACCAACGTTTGGCTAACAGCTGACCAGCAACTGACCAGCAACTGACCACCATATGACCAACCTTTGGCTAACAGCTGACCAGCAACTGACCAGCAACTGACCACCATATGACCAACCTTTGGCTAACAGCTGACCAGCAACTGACCAGCAACTGACCACCATATGACCAACCTTTGGCTAACAGCTGACCAGCAACTGACCAGCAACTGACCAGCAACTGACCAGCAACTGACCACCATATGACCAACGTTTGGCTAACAGCTGACCAGCAACCGACCAGCAACTGACCAGCAACTGACCACCATATGACCAACCTTTGGCTAACAGCTGACCAGCAACCGACCAGCAACTGACCAGCAACTGACCACCATATGACCAACCTTTGGCTAACAGCTGACCAGCAACCGACCAGCAACTGACCAGCAACTGACCACCATATGACCAACGTTTGGCTAACAGCTGACCAGCAACCGACCAGCAACTGACCAGCAACTGACCACCATATGACCAACCTTTGGCTAACAGCTGACCAGCAACTGACCAGCAACTGACCACCATATGACCAACCTTTGGCTAACAGCTGACCAGCAACTGACCAGCAACTGACCAGCAACTGACCAGCAACTGACCACCATATGACCAACGTTTGGCTAACAGCTGACCAGCAACCGACCAGCAACTGACCAGCAACTCACCACCATATGACCAACCTTTGGCTAACAGCTGACCAGCAACCGACCAGCAACTGACCAGCAACTGACCACCATATGACCAACCTTTGGCTAACAGCTGACCAGCAACCGACCAGCAACTGACCAGCAACTGACCACCATATGACCAACCTTTGGCTAACAGCTGACCAGCAACCGACCAGCAACTGACCAGCAACTGACCACCATATGACCAACGTTTGGCTAACAGCTGACCAGCAACCGACCAGCAACTGACCAGCAACTGACCACCATATGACCAACCTTTGGCTAACAGCTGACCAGCAACCGACCAGCAACTGACCAGCAACTGACCACCATATGACCAACCTTTGGCTAACAGCTGACCAGCAACCGACCAGCAACTGACCAGCAACTGACCACCATATGACCAACGTTTGGCTAACAGCTGACCAGCAACCGACCAGCAACTGACCAGCAACTGACCACCATATGACCAACGTTTGGCTAACAGCTGACCAGCAACCGACCAGCAACCGACCAGCAACTGACCACCATATGACCAACGTTTGGCTAACAGCTGACCAGCAACCGACCAGCAACTGACCAGCAAATGACCACCAAATGACCAACCTTTGGCTAACAGCTGACCAGCAACCGACCAGCAACTGACCAGCAACTGACCACCATATGACCAACGTTTGGCTAACAGCTGACCAGCAACCGACCAGCAACTGACCAGCAACTGACCACCAAATGACCAACCTTTGGCTAACAGCTGACCAGCAACCGACCAGCAACTGACCAGCAACTGACCACCATATGACCAACGTTTGGCTAACAGCTGACCAGCAACCGACCAGCAACTGACCAGCAACTGACCACCATATGACCAACGTTTGGCTAACAGCTGACCAGCAACCGACCAGCAACTGACCACCATATGACCAACGTTTGGCTAACAGCTGACCAGCAACCGACAAGCAACTGACCAGCAACTGACCAGCAACTGACCAGCAACTGACCAGCAACTGACCACCAAATGACCAACCTTTGGCTAACAGCTGACCAGCAACCGACCAGCAACTGACCAGCAACTGACCACCATATGACCAACGTTTGGCTAACAGCTGACCAGCAACAGACGAACAACAGACCAGCAATTACCATTACTGACTAATAAATTGACCAACTGGTGGCCAACAAAAAGACTGGGGAAAAACAATGGATCAATCTTTGATGCATGTCAAACATTGGCTCAACGAATCTTCTTCTTCGTTCTTAATTGTCAGTGTTGGAAAGGATCGAGCCTTATCTGCCAGAACTCGGAACTTTGGCCTAACGATGAACAAAAACTAACCGTAGCTATAGCCACAAATAATAAACAAATAACAAAAAACTCTCCAACAAATAAAAAACTAACAAATTACAAAAAATTCTCCAACAAATAACAAAACAAAAACTCCGACAAATAACAAAAAACTCTCCAACAAATAACAAAAAACTCTCCAACAAGTAACAAAAAACTCTCCAACAAATAACACACAAAAAACACAAATACAGGAACAACACCAAATAACTAAGCCCACACCACCAGCTACCATAGTTAATTTTTTTAATGTTGGAAACAAAAGCAAACATGGTTAACACTGGTGGGATCTTTGTCGTCGACGGCATCACCCCGTACAAGTCACGTGTTACCCGTTGAGGTTTTCACAGCTCATGTAGTCTGAGTTACACAACTTGCATTCACAGCCGGTGGCGTCGAAGACCTCCACGGTGGGGTCGGGGTACCCCTCGCACTCCGTGAGCAAGGCTCTCCTCCTGGACCGTCCGGTATAGCTACAGACGGGGTGGTTGGAGACCTTGTAGGGCATCACGTAGTCGCCGAACTGGGGACGGGAACACAAGAGGGCGTGTTAATAAATAGATCATATTAAATTTTTAACAAAAATGTTAACATTTATTTTTTAACCAAAAGTTGACATCACATTTTTAACGAAAGTTGATATTAAGTTTAAAGTCAATTTAAAAGCAAAAGTTGATGTCACATTTTTAACGATAGTTTTTTTATTAAATTTAAGTTGAGTTCAAATTTAAACAAAAAGTGGCATAACAAATTTTTAATTTAAAAAAGTTATTATTATATTATTAACGATGATTTTACATTTAAGTTTTAACAAAAAAAACTGACATTTATTTTTAACTAAAAATTTATATCAATTTTTTTTTTAAAGTTAACATTTACTTCTTTTTTAAAGTCGATATCAATTTTTTTAACAAAAAAAAATCGACACCAAATTTTCAACAAAACAGTAGACGTTTAATATTTAACAAAAAGTTCACAGAGAACTTTCATAGCCTTTGATGCACTAGCTCATAGTTTTGATTTGCTTTCCATTTTTATCAGTTTAATCTAACGTAGCACCAAACCTTTGATCAAAGCTTAATCTATATTTACGATATATTTCACTTATTTACGGATTTGAGTACAAAAACAATCCCCGAGTCTGAAGTAAACAGATTTATTTTAAGATCCAGGATAATGTTACTACACAAGGACAACCCAAATTTATTTTAAGATCCAGGATAATGTTACTACACAAGGACAACCCAAATTTATTTTAAGATCCAGGATAATGTTACTACACAAGGACAACCCAAATTTATTTTAAGATCCAGGATAATGTTACTACACAAGGACAACCCAAATTTATTTTTAATCTCTAGCGCTAAAAACGAAGTCGGCGCGGTGGCGTAGCTAGGGGAGGTCGGGTGGGGCGGACGCACCCGGGCGCCGACTCCAATGGGGCGCCAATAGAGGTAGAAAAATTAATTTAAAAGCTCGTTTTAAGCTGAAGTATCTAATCATACACAGTCAAAGTTACGGAAATAGACGAGTACAAGGCTTTACACACGGATCTGTTTTCTATATCAATTTTATGGCACCGAAATAGTAAATCTTTCGGGGTAGTAACTGGTAAGGAGCGCCACAAACTTTTTCAACTTGGGGGGGGGGGGGGCGCTTTTTCCAGACAGGAATAACTGTATATAGAAACGGGAGGGACGGGGCATCTGTGTCAGCATTGTCTCTTCTTTAAGGCAACCTCATCACACCCGGTGCAGTTTTTTAAAGTAATGTCTTTGTTTAGTTCGTCTCTAACATAACGGAAACCAACACTAAAACATTGAATTGTTTAAGTTTAAAATACTTTGATCTTCTGGGAAAAGTTGAGATTTATTCAGCTTGTCTTCAGTCCGTGTTTAATGTTTGTATGAGATTTATTCAGCTTGTCTTGAGTCTGTGTTTAAGGTTTGTATAAATGTGTCAGCCTAGCTAGAAACGGAAAAATATATTTTCGTTAGGACCCGCGATTACCGCCCTTGTTGTGGATTGACTTGGGATAGAGCCATCCTAGGATAATTTGCTTATATCATGCTGCTGTAGGTTTTAGGATCCATTAGCTAGAACCGGAAGTGGTGGAGAGCCAAACCAGGGGAAGAATACGTAAAGTCGGGTTACTTTGTGGATAGCTTCGGCGTTAAGATTGTAACGTCAGATCTCTGTGTGTTTGACAGCTGGGTTGGGGGGGGGGGGGGTATGTGGGTGGGGGTTGTGTGGGGAGGTGGTGGAATCAGAAAAGTGTGGAATTGGGACTTGTGTGAGCAGGGTTTGTTTATAAGTAGGGTTTGTGTGTGGGTAGAGTTTGTGTGTGGGTTGGGTTTGTTTGTTGGTAAGGTTGGTGTGTGAGTGGTTTCCTGTGTGGGAGTAGGGTTTGTTTATAAGTAGGGTTCGTGTGTGGGTAGGGTTTGTGTGTAGTAGGGATTGTTTATAAGTAGGGTTTGTGTGTGATTAGGATTTGTTTATAAGTAGGGTTTGTGTGCGGGTAGGGTTTGTGTGTGTGTAGGGTTTGTGTGTGGGTAAAGTGTATGTGAGTAGGATTGTATATAGGGTTTGTGTGTAGGTAGAGTTTGTTTGTGTTTGTCAATGTAAATGTTGAACTCATGTCTCCCTCACCTCCCCTCTCTCCTCACATCCTCTACACTAAACATCCTCCCCCCTCCCCAGTTTCGCTCACCTTCCCTCCTAACAACTTTCCAAGATTTCCGCTTATTTTGTCATTTCTCCTTGTGTATCTTCTTACTCCCCTTGATCTCCTTGCTTAACCTAATGGCGTCCCCTGATTAAGCTCTTAACCTCCGTCTTACTATCAATCCATCCTCCTCCTCCTCCCGAACACACCCCCCCAAATTTCTCCCCTCGTTGTCCTCCCTCATTAGCGCCTCTCGAATGTCTTCCTCCAACTCTCATTACCTCCCCCACAATTCTTTCTCCATCTATCTTTCTATTAAACCACATCTTTTAGACTCCGGCTAGATTGCTTTATCTCTGGGTTTAAATGGTTTTAGAAACCTTTTTTTTCATTTACGAAATTATTCATCTCGCAAATAATGTTTGTTATTTGTATTTGAAATTTCTTTCTGCTTTTGTTGCAGAAATATTAATTGGAGTATTTTCTAAAATTGCAAGATTTCTGTTGATAATACGTATTGTGATTTTGTTAGATTTGTGAAAAATATTTAATGTGTTTTTGTTAGATTTGTGACAAATATTTAATGTGTTTTTGTCAGATTTGTGACAAATATTTAATGTGTTTTTGTCAGATTTGTGACAAATATTTATTGTGTTTTTGTCAGATTTGTGACAAATATTTAATGTGTTTTGTTAGATTTGTGACAAATATTTAATGTGTTTTTGTTAGATTTGTGACAAATATTTAAAGTGGTTTTGTTAGATTTGTGACAAATATTTATTGTGTTTTTGTCAGATTTGTGACAAATATTTAATGTGTTTTGTTAGATTTGTGACAAATATTTAATGTGTTTTTGTTAGATTTGTGGCAAATATTTAATTTTTTTTGGTCAGATTTGTGACAAATATTTATTGTGTTTTTGCTAGATTTGTGACAAATATTTAATATGTTTTTGTCACATTAGTGAAAAATATTTAATGTGTTTTTGTCAGATTTGTGACAAATATTTAATGTGTTTTTGTCAGATTTGTGACAAATATTTAATGTGTTTTTGTTACATTTGTACACTATATATCAATGTGTTTTTGCTAGATTTTCTGACAAATATTTAATGTGTTACTGTTAGATTTGTGACAAATATTTAATGTGCTTTTGCTAGATTTGTGACAAATATTTAAAGCCCCCTCTTGTCACCTATTAACCTGTGCTATTTGTGCCTTATTAGAACATCTCGCGTGATCCACACTTCTCGTGTGACGGGAAATACAACCCTCGGACATATCATTTCCGGTGCTTTTCAACACTTTCCCCGCGCGCCATTTTTTCTAATCCGTAAAAAATTGTTCTCTACTTTTTGACCTTTTATTCCACAAAGAATGGTTTCAGGTAGCATATTTTATGTGTTTTAGTCAAACTTGTCCGATTATAATGTTTGGTGTGTAAAGCGATCAGTTGGTGGTGATGTTTGGTGTGTAAAGTTGGTGGTGATGTTTGGTGTGTAAAGTTGGTGGTGATGTTTGGTGTGTAAAGTTGGTGGTGATGTTTGGTGTCTAAAGTTGGTGGGGATGTTCGGTGTGTAAAGCGATCAGTTGGTGGTGATGTTTGGTGTGTACAGCGATCACTTGGTGGTGATGTTTGGTGTGTAAAGCGATCAACGGATGTTGATGGTTGGTGTGTAAAGAACTTCTTGAGTGACTAGTCTCCTCTTCCACTTCCGGTTTCCAATAACTTGTCGACTTAACTTTCGGCGCTCTAAATAGAACATGTCATTTGGGTGGAGACCTTTCGTCATTTGTAAGTGGGGTGAGGGTGGGGAAGGGGTGATGGTAAGGATTAGTTTGTGGGTGGGGATAGGGATGAGGAAAGGGTGTGGGTGGAAAAGGGGTGAGGGTGTGGGTGGAGTAGGGGTAGTGTGGAAAAGAGGGTGAGGGTATGAAAGTGATGAGGGTGGGGAAAGGGTCAGGGTGGGGTAGTGGTGGGAGTGGCAGTCGATATTCAGTATTGTAAACAACTTTAAAATGTTGAAATGTAGTAGGAAACAGTTTGTTGTTTTCGTGTTTCATTAAAGCTTTGAAGTATTTGATCCAGTGTGGGAGAGGGAAACGATGAAGGCGGAAGGGGAGATACTATTAATTTTTTTACACTACTCACACCACGCATGCCAACACTCCCCAACCACTAAACACACTCCCCAACCACTAAACACACTCCCCAACCACTAAACACACTCCCCAACCACTAAACACACTCCCCAACCACTAAACAAATTCCCCAACCACTAAACACACTTCTCAACTACTAAACACACTTTCCAACCACTAAACAAATTCCCCAACCACTAAACACACTCCCAAACCATTAAACACATTTCCCAACCACTAAACACATTTCCCAACCAATAAACACACTCTCTTACTACCAAACCAAACTTCCACAACCCCTTCCCAACCCCAACAACAACTAGTGTATGTTAAAGTAATGATGTGTACCATTTATTTGTAGCAGCTACTACTATGTACTTGTAAAGTTGGAACTAGTTTTCTCTAGAAATAATATCTGATGTGACCAGTTAAAAAGTTTTAAAAACTATCTTCTGTTATTAAACAAGTAATTTTAACAGCTGTATCGAAACAATTTAAAATCAACAAACAACAAACAGCTTTGACACCAATTTCCTTATCCCTTATGTCTATCATTAAATTGTTCAGCTAATTTAAACAACTAGGCTTCGTTAAGATTGTCACCCACAAAATATCAATTCATTCTTCAATCTCAATTTTATGTTATTTTAAAAAAAAAAAATTAAAATTATTCCATTGATTTTTTTTTAAAAATGCGTGTTTTTATTCCTGATGTGT